TATTTTCAAATACAAAAATATTTACCAGAGATGTGGGATCCAAGCAGAGGTGGGCTGCTGGGGGTTTGCAGGGGTTCGGGAGAGCCCCTAGCTAAGATTCTGTGCAGTTCAGAGAACCGCCAAATCCCACTCTTGGCTGGCCCCACCCACCCCGCCCTTCTCCTCCCAGGAGTCCCCACATGGCCTGTTTTGGATGCAGGTAAGTGCAGGACGTGCACGGAGGCATAGGGAGGGTGACAAACAGGTTTCCCGGAAGTTTGGGAAGGCCAGAAATGGGCCGGTTTCTGGCTTCCAGAGAGCCACTGGAGCCCAGGGAGGCAGTTTTCGCCCTCCCGGAGGCTCGAGGAAAGCCTCCAGAGCCCAGGGAGGGCAAAAACGCCCCTCCACTGTGGTGCAGGAGGCTGACTAGGCCACACCCACCATGGCCACGCCCACCCAGCAACCGGGCAGAGAACCCTTTGCTAAAATTTTTGAAGCCCACCCCTAGATCCAAGAACACTCCCCACAAAAATGCAAGAGCAGGTTACAAGTAGCAACATGAAGAAACCCAGGCTCCAGTAACTGTAATGGTTGAATCTCCCTTAGTTCCAACTGCCTTGCACATTTCAATACCTAATTATGATACATAGTTCAGTCAAATTCTGCATGATCACCTGTTAGAAGCATTTTCCAAGTTAAGCTTAGTGAATGATTAATCTTTCCAGCCCACCTGGGAAGAAATGTGCACAGTGCTGCCAGCTTCAGTCTGAGAAGGCCTTTTGCCCCACTTTCAAGAGCTGCAAGAAATTTTTTGCTTGGGTTCCCTTCTTTGAACTATTTGCTCTTTTCAGGTTTATAATTTGTGTTCAGTCTGTTCTTCAGTTGGGTTAGTTCGCCTGTGTCAACAATTGCCTAAACAAGTTCTACAATCTTGGCCTTTCTATCTTCAGGTCTCATTAAGCTTGAACCAATGTTGATAATCTGCTACATTCCTCATATTCAACTATCCAAATATCTCTGCCTTCTTTCTAGTATGCAGCCAGGAGAAACTTTGAATAATTGTGGGGCATTGGTTGCACACTTTCATACATGGTATTGAAAGGCACCCTTTTGTTGTAGATACGTCATAGTGATGTGAAATAAGTTAATACAATTCTTCTCTCTGCATACCACCTTGATTTAGTCCCGTCCATGGAATTTCTTCCATGTAACACATTTCTTTTAGTCCTTCTGGTCTATTGGCTGACTATAGGGCAAGACAAAGACAAACAGTATTTCTTTTTCTTTTGTCCACCCGCCCACCTCAGGGTGTCTTAGAATGAACCAAATAATGTCCTTATCTTGTTCTCCATTCAAGACCCATGTAATTATTTTTACCAGCCTATAACATTCATAAAACGAAGGTGCCATTTCCTGAACACTTTGTAGCTTTATTTTATAGGAGTATTTTACAACTGAAGACCTTTGAGTGGGAAGCTACTGTTCGCACCTTTCCAAGTGTGATGCAAATAAATCAAGAAAGAAAGCAGCTTCTGGATCCCCGGTCTGGGGCTTTTTTGGCTGATTCTGTGCAGGTTATTTTTGTTTTAGTTTTTCTTTCCCCTGATGCTCAGCCTTCTGTTCTGCTTTCTCTTTATTAGCTTTTCCCTGCAGGCAAAATACATTTGGGCAGCACTTTAAACTGGTGCAGCATAAAACCATTTAAACAATTGGCAGGATGAGGTAGAAATCCCAAGCTAGACAGGCAGGCAGGCAGGCAGAACAATATTGATAAGTGCCCATCAATTCCCAAATAGCCCAAGTCACAGCCACCTTTGGTCCAACAGTACATGTTGTATGCAGATGTTTGCATACTCAGCGAATGGCCTGGGTACCACATATACCAGTGTTTGGCAAACATTTTCAGCAATGAGTGCTGAAATGGGAACGTGCAGGGGAGCACCAGAAACTAGAAGAGCAACAGGCACAGCTGGCATGCCCAGAGAGATGGCCCTGTGTGCCACTTCCAGCATGCGTGCCATAGATTCGCCATCATGGACATACACCATCTTGCCACTTAAATCATGCACTTTCAAAATCTGCTTAAAGCAATGTTCATCAACTTTGGCAATTAAGATACGTGGTTGAGAAACACTGGGTTAAAGCATTCTATAGCATCCCTCTATTACTGCCCTTGACATCAGTTAGCTCCTGATATGCTTATGGTGACCATCTATTGCTCCTGAGTCTCTCTTTCATTTCTCTAAAACCACTGACAAACTTTCAGATAGTATTTCTTTTCCCACAAAGTATTATCCAATGCCCACATATCTCCAAATGGTACCTCCTACTCACAAAGCTGGACAGAACGGGATTGATGTTCTTCTTGCACTTGCACAATTTCCTTGAAAGAGCCATAATATCCTTGTAAGTTAGCTTTACACAGATGACTGGATGTGTAAGAGCTGTAACTTCTAAAGCAAGTTACCTTGCAAATTGGATAATTAGTAAAAGGCATTAATACTCCAAATTATACTCCAAATGAACATGGTCTGAGAAAAACATAGTAAGATGTAGTATACACATTTACTCTGTCTGACTATTTAACACAGAGAAATTGCCTCTATTTTTCTAAGATATCCACCTAATGTTGAATAAATGCACAATGTATAGTAGGATGCCACTATCCCAGTGATTTATTAACATGGTAGACAGCATGACAAGATAAATAGGATCAAAATATCAGTCCTAGGAAAGCTATGCCCATGTTTACAAGCTGTGTTTGTCTGGAATACAGTTAACAGGGAATTAGCAAGAGTAGCTTAAGAGCCACAAATAGAACATAACATTCCAAACAAAATACAGAAGTAGGAAAAATTCCCTCTGCTTGTTATGTATATCAGTCCATAGCAAACCTCACTAGTTTTTCCCCAGCTTTAAAATGTGTTGGTTAACCACTATTCCATACAGAACACACTGAAGAGATCTCATGCCATGCCACTCAATCATAATTGAGTTCTGTCACCAGATCAAGCCCCACACAAGCAATTCATATTATTGTCAGCTTTCCCAGGTAGTCAGACAGGAAGCACAAACAGATGAGCTAAAATTCCATTACATTAACAGAGTCTTGCAAGCCTGCTGATACAAAACTCCTACCATTTTTTATAGCCTGAGAGGTTAAGGAGGTTCCTTTCTAAATTTCCTTCCCTGGCCATCATGCAGCTGCAGGGCTATGTCCTCTGCTATCTGATTATTTCTTAGATAGCATCTCTTCACCCCCTTTCCCAAGGTCATTCCTACATACCATTACAATTATGGATTAGCACACTATGTGAACTACTCACCTGTAAGGTATCTGAAATGTCTATCCTATATAAATTCCAAGGGCAGGGCATTCAGCCCTTAGGTGGTAGGTAGAATAATAATTTCTCTAGTCAGACTTGATTTTTACCAGGAGACAATAAGCACTCTAACTTTGAGTAATTAGACTAATACATGAGCATAGAAAGACTTTGGCTGGAACACTTATTGCTGCAATCATGCAGTGCTGGGTGCATAAATTGCCTGAGGCACACTTCATTTTATTGCTGGTTTATTTTTGAAGTCTCAAACAGGTACAGGTAAATGTGTCCCAAGACCTGAATAACTGCGATGTAGTTTGATCTCCCATGTGCTGTATAAACCTGCTCAGGTATCAGACCATAGAACTTTTCTCCAAGTAATTAGATAGCAAATGTGTAGCCACAGTAGGACAACTGGACATGCCAGACAGAGAAGCAGGCCTCCACTCCTGTGGTGTCTGCCTTCTGGAACAAAATCCTCACCACCCCTACCCTGACCTTATTTATGGTTTCAGTTGTTCTGCTGACAAAATGATGTTTTCTCTTTTCTCCCAACACAAGTCTTGTAATAAGGATCATCTCTACAGTTCCTCAGAAATGAGACTGGCAACTAAATGGTCGGGGGGGGGGGGGGGGGGGGGGGGCGGCGGCTGTCCAGCTGCTGAACTTTCCCTCTTTTTAGCCTGTCATTGGATGTTGATCCCTATGGTCACTCAGGCTTGGCTTACAATACAGATCAGAAGTCGGTCTGTTTTTTTTGACACAGAAATAATCCATCTCCCAGAAGACATTTGGGCTTTTTAAAGAAGCGTAAGAAGGAGAGTGATAGTCCCATAGGAAATGGGAAATAAATAAATCCAGTACTTTCAAAGTTTGACTGACTCCGATAGGAGTGTCTGCAGTCTTTAGCAGGGGTGGGATGTTACCGGTTCTGCCTGGCTCTATAGAACTGGTAGCTCTGAAGAGCAGCAGACACAGATCCGGTTCTGTGTTTGCTGCTGTTTGGCCCATCCACCTGCCTGGGCTGTTACTTGACCTTTATTTCCTGCTTTTTCAACCTCAGCTGCTTTGTGCGGCACAGCTGAGGTTGAAAAAGCAGTAAAAAAGTGGTTTTTCAAATGTTGTGCACCTGTGCATGCAGCGCTTATTAGCTGTCTGGCCAGAACAGCTTTAGTTGTATTACATGCGTGTGCACAAAACATAATCACCGAACTGGTAGTAGCACCAGTTGAATCCCACCCCTGGTCCTTAGCCCTACCTTGACATACAGAGAACAATTGGAGGTGGTTCTTTTTATTGATAGAGATGAAAATGAAACTGGTGAACCAGTCAGACATTACCTTGAATTTGTAAGGACAGAAACACTCCCTACCTTGGTACTAAGTCACAGTAAGCTTGATTAAGGAGGCAACCCAACTTAAATCAATCCCTCCCCTTTGTACTCTTCTTGTCCTGTCACCCAAGGGTTGGGAAGTGAAATGGGAAAATGTGTTGTCTGTGAGAAATGGGTGTTTGTTTGGCACTGTTGTGGAACTTTGCCAAAATAAGGAGTACAGCACTGAGAAGAACCATGGTTATTGCAATGAACATTGGATGCATGTTTTAGGGGGGAAAAGGGTCCCTGACCAATGGAAAAGCAGTTTAAAAAAAAAAAAAAAGAAGTTGAGGACAACAAGGCAGGAAATCCTAGCGATCTAAATGGCTGCTCAGTTTGGGGAAGCTTGGCAGGTCTTTCACCCTATTCCTATGGTGAATTCTATTGTCAGGCAGAATGGGACTTTTAGAAATGCAGCAGAGCTGGAGACATTCATTATGAAAGTGATAAAATTTGGGGTCATCAGCTGATACGAACATAGAAGTTGGGGATTCTCTAGGTCACAACTTCCTGTTGCTCTTGTGCCAGTAGTGGGATTCAATTTTTTTTACTACTGGTTCTGTGGGCGTGGCTTGGTGGGCATCGCAGGAGGAGGATACTGTAAAATCTCCAATCAGAGGTGGTATTTGCTGGTTCTCCGAACTACTCAAAATTTCTGCTACCAGAACTGGTCAGAACTTGCTGAATTGTACTATACTGTGAATGGGTGAGGATATTTCTATTCTTTGGTCTAGATGGAAGTGGGGGGGGGGGAGAATTTGTCAAGAGCAAGAGGAGTTATTCAACTCTGATGAGATTATGCAAAAAGAGGAAGTGGGTTTTACTTTGGTCATATCCAAAAGGCAAGGGTGTGTGTGTGTGGGGGGGTATGGGTAAAGTCTTCATTTTATTAGTTAGGTTCATTTTTTCTACTACAGGCACAGGAGGAGAATCCTGCTAATCAGTGGCAGAACCACAGAGAGGCATCTAGCAGTAGCCTCAGCCAGCTACCCTAATCTTATTTCAATGTGATATAATTCAGATGAACTAAATCAGGGGTCCCAACCTTCCAAGGGTGACCATGGCCTATTCGCAACTAGGCCTCACGAGTGGCAAGCTGGCATGTACATGTAGCAAAACTTGCTTGTTCACATGGCCTGGTTCCTCTTCCCCCACTGAGCTCCAAACTGCAAAGGTTGGAGATTGCTGGACTAAAGAAGATAGCTTATGCTGAAAATGTTATTTTACAAACAAAATAATAAGAGTTAAGTTCTGCCTTTTTAGCAGGTCAGGTAAATTGACTCTGACATAATTTGTCTATTCCTCTAAATTCATCTAATGAAGCACCTGCAGTTCATGCTGAAAAGGTTATCTAGAATCCAAAAGTAGGTATTTGAGGTAGACTGGAGATGAATAGTGATGGTTTCATCAAGTTTGAGTCACCAATAGATCATATATAATTCAAAACTACAGACAGGATACTTTTTTTATCTTTAAGCAGTGTATTACCGTATTTTTCAGGGTATAAGATGCACTGGACTATAAGATACACCTTGGTTTAGAGAAGGAAAACAAGGGAAAAAAGTTTTTTGCCCCCGCGCATCCTGTTTTTGCCCTCCCTGGTGTGCAGAAGCACTCTGCAGGCCAAAAACGGCCCTGTTTTTGTCCTCCAGATGCCTCTGCAGGTCCTGTTTTTGCCCTTCCCACCATCACCCCCCCCAAACATGGGACTTGTGGGGGCCCCGGAGCAGTGGCCCCCAACTTTTTTTGTGCCACGGCCTGGTACCGGCATCACAAAATGATCTGCGGCCCGGTACCGGCATCAGCACGCATGACAAGGCAAGGCGAGCCGAGCGACCGGCCAGCCAGCCGTCCCCCCCATCTCCCCACCAACTTCAACTCCTCCTTTGTACCTTTGTTGATGGGCTTCGCTTTGGGACAGCTTCGGGGCGGTTGCTTGGCTCACCTTGCCTTGGGTGCTGAAAGAATCCTCACACCTTAGTTTTGTTCGAAGCCCCCCCCCCTCAATGAAACTAAGGTGCGAGGATTCCATCAGGACCCAAACGCCGCTTTCCAACCGGAAAAGCTCACCCGGAAACACTTTCTCATCAAACAAGATGGCGGCGCCCAGCAAACCGGTGGCCCAGTAGGAAATGTTCCACAGACCGGTACCGGTCCGTGGCCCGGTGGTTGGGGACCCCTGCTCTAGAGGACAAAAACAGGTATTTAGAATGTTCTAGATGCTGTGGAGGGCAAAAACAGGACCCACAGAGGCTTTGGGAGGCCAAAAATGGGCCTATATTCACACAGACATTTCCACCCACTTTTTGGGGGGAGGGGAAGTGTGTCTTATACTCTGAAAAATATGGTAATTAAAAGAGAATTTGATTCTATGTTTTAACAGGAATTAGTGTGAAAATGTTTTGCAATTTAATTGCTGGAGGTTTTTTTAGGTTTCTGTTTTCGTTTAATACTGAATTCCTAAATGCACTTGTGAACCTATTATTGTAATCACTAGTGTGTTTGTTGACAGCAACAAATTGAACGACAGCTAAAATGCTTGGCATTTCAAAATCCAGGACCTCTGCTGGCAGATTTCAACCCAGAAACTCGGGAACAACAAAAGAAAGTCTGTATGTCAATGATAAACCAGGATTGTTTTAATACGACAAAGAAGTAAGATGATGTATCCAAGTTCTGTCTATATTTTAAATTAACTTTGGAAATAGAAATTTATAGGGTTGTTTAATCATCTTCAGATGCTTAAGGCTCCAGATTAATGCATGCATTCTTGAAAGTTCTACTCCAGTTAGCAGAAAAAAAAATCTATTCATAATTACCATGATCATGGCTGCAATCATGGCTATTGTTCCTTAAAATTCTCTTATTTAAGCATTTAAGACAGAATAAACCTGCTGACAATTAAATTGTAGGACATTTGGAAGATTAAGGGTGTATAATTGGTTTTGGGCTAAAGGCTACATTAGCCCAAAATTACATTACATACAGAGTAGTGTGTACCATACTACCCTCCTATATGGCACACTGGGTCCTTGTGGCTTGACTTTCTAACCTGCTTTCCCACGTGTTGCCTGCACCCCAACTAAGCAGCCCTGATCTGTTTGCTCACAGGTAAGCCTGCGAGTCGCACTAGCCACCCCCGTCCCCAGGTTCAGCTGGTTGGCTTCCCCATTGGCACGGCCCCATCCTGGTGCTGGTGCTGGCTGGGGCTTAGCTAGCTGACCCCCCATCCCTGGGCTTGGCTGGCTGGCTTCCCCAGTGGCACGGACCCATCCCGGAGGCCATGCTGGCTAGGGCCTAACTAGCTGTCCTGCCCCCACCATCCCTGGCTTGGCTGGCTGGCTAAGCCGCCATGCGGCACTTTCCCAACCATGTGGCGGCTGCAGCGTAGTGAGTGGCGGGAGTGATGCTACAACCGGGAGGGTGGGGACCTAGATGCCTTTCATAAGCAGCGCTGTTGCTGCAGTGCCTCTGCTGCCACCACTCGCTTCTCCTGGGGGACAAAATGAAAGGAAGTGGGCGGAGGTGACAGAGGCGGCGGACCCCACTGCCTCTCATAAGCAGCGCTGTTGTCTCCGCTATCTCCCTTTAGTTTTGTCCCCTGGGAGAAGCAAGTGGCAGCGGCAGTGCTCCAACTGGGAGGGCAGGGACCGAGCTGACTCCTGTAAGCAGTGCTGTTGCCGCAACGCCACAGTGGATGTCCTGGAGCTGGTCGCTTTCTTCATTCTCCTGCCGCCTGCTGCTCTGGAGTTCACCAGATCAGTTAGTTCCAGATCAGGTTGTATGTGAGAGTGGTGTACGTGTGCTTGTGTGTATGTGTGTGTGTGTGAGAGAGAGAGAGAGAAAGAAGAAAAGAATGAAAGAGCAAGAAAGAAAGAGGAAGGGAGAGAAAGAAAGAAGAAGAAAGAAAGAGAAATAAATAAAAAGAAATAGAAAGGAAAGGAAAAAGAGACTGTGCTGTGTGTGGGAGAGACAAGAAAAGAAAGAAAACAAAAAAGATCACGAAAGAAAGAGGAAGGGAGAGAGAAAAAAAAGAAATAGGAAAAAAGAAAGAGAAAAAGAAATAGGAAAAAAGAAGGGGAAAAGAAATAGGAAGGAAGGGGGGGAGAAAAAACTGTGCTATTATTTTTAATTGTTCCATTATTTATCATATATTAATATTTTACACTGTCCCTATACTTGATTTTACTGCCTTTCTTTTGCCCAGGGCTACCACATATTTTCCAGGGTTTACATACATTCAATGTCTATAGTCCAGACTCCAGAGCATAAATACACTTGCGTTTAACAGTGTTGAAAGGGACTTTGGAGGTCTTCTAGTCCAACCCCCTGCTCAGGCAGGAAAACAGAGAATGCCAAACTCTGAGCAGAGGTCATGGGAAAGATGTCAGAATAACAGAATAACACCTAGAAGGGAGCTTGGGGGGAACCCTATACCATTTCAGAGAAATGGCTGTTCAGTCTTTTCTTAAAAACCTCTAGTGTTGGAGTACCCAGAACTTCTGAAGACAAGCAGTTCCACTGGTTAATTGTTCTCATTGTCAGTTTTAGTCCTGATTTGCTTCTCTCTTTGTTCAGTTTCCATCCATTGCTTCTTGTTTGCCTTCTGGTGCTTTGGAAAATACATTGCCCCCCCTCCTCTTTCTGGCAGCCCCTTAAAAGCCTGTTGTCTATCACACACTTGAGCAAAGCATGTGAGCCATTTCCTCCTTTAAGTGGTCCATGAAAGTATATCTATGGTACATAGATAATGAAGTCAAAAAAAGGTGAACAACATTTTTACAGAATTATAAATTGAGGCTGGGTGTGACAAGGAATGGCTGGCAGGGGAGGGGAGGGGCCAGGCGAGGCACCCCTTGATGTGAGTGACATAAGAGTTGGCACACCCACCCAGTCACTGACCACCACACCATGCCTACACATTCACATGACCACCAGGCCACACCCACCCAGTCACATGTCCATCAAGCCCGCCCACTCAGTCACATGCCCATCAAACAAACCACGCCCATAGAACTGGTAGTAAATTTTTTTGAATTCCACCACACACACACACACACACACACACACACACACATGTTAGTCTCCAAGACTATAGCCACATGTCAGTTTTTATCTGAATTTTTAGTTTTGATGAGAATTAAATTCGCTATCCAGTCTATGTGGCTGGCTGTTTTCCACATTAGCAATCTGGCAATCCTCTGCTTAATTGGAATTTAATTTGCTCCCTCTGCATGCCCTGCTTTTTAAGACTTATGTAGCTGATCAAAATCCTAATATTTCTCTTTTCCACTGGGGATATAGCTTTCGTATAGAAAAAAGTGCATATCCTAACAGGACATAATCTGGCACACTACTGCTGCCATTTATAGTTTACCTGAGTTAAAAAAATTCCTATGCTAAGTAGTCCTGAGGAACCATCTGTCAAAGCAATTTTCTTCCTCCTCTTTTAAATAGGTCTGTGGTAATGCTGCATTCCATTCTGAGGTAAAGATAAAAGGGTTCTTTATTTGTAGATTAAAATAGTATCAGAGGGGAATTCTGAAGATCTTTTTTTTTTTGCTTTGCAGTGCATTTTCATTTTTTTTACTTCATATTTTAACAATCTAACAAGGTGCCTCTGTCTGCTATTTTTATAGGACTGTGAAGAAATATGACAAACATGGCCATCTGATTTCCAATAAAACAGATTTGTGTGATTGTCTAGAGAAGAACTGTCTGGGCTGCTTTTACCCTTGTCCTAAATGTAATTCAACAAAGTGTGGGGCAGAATGTCGCTGCAACCGGAAATGGGTCTACGAACAAATTCAGGTGGAGGCTGGCCAAATCATCCGATTTCCATTTCGAAACAACTAGATTACATTACGTTTCCTGATATTATTTTCCCCCCTTTGTAAAGAAAAACACTCTCTTTTATTTTTAACAAATAAAGACAGGGTTATTGTTGTGGATCAGTCACTAAGTTGTGTCTGACTCTTTGCAACCCCATTGATCACAGCATGCCACTCTCTTCCACTGTTTCCTGAAGTTTGCCCAAATGCATGTGTATTGTGTTGATGACACTATCTAACCATCTCATCCTCTGTTGCCCCCTTGTCCTAGCACCAGGGCCTTTTCCAACGAGTCCCCTTTTCTCATTAGCTGGCCAAAGTATTTGAGCTTCAGCTTCAGTATCTGTCCTTCCAAAGTACAGTTGTGGTGCCTTTTCTTTACGAATCTGCAGAGTTGCCATACTATTTGATAGAAGGAAAGTAAGTAGCTTAAATGACACAAGAAAAGTATATGTCTTGAGGGCAAAATAGCACAACAGAACCATGATTGCAGGGGAGGGAGAAGATAGTTTGATAAAGAAATCGTTAGGAGAATCTGGACAGAACTGAAGAAAAGGTTTTTCACATTTGTCTAGCTGTTTTTCCATTACAAATCAGTGCCTCCCCCCATGTGCTTTACATAGCACATTTGAAGTGCATGAAGTGGATGCTTTGCTAATTTTGAAGATCTCAGAACATATGTGATTAAGAGAAATTTTGCATAATAGGGTTGGAAGGAGATGATAGTAAAAGAAAAAAAAATGAAGATTTTTTTTCAAATGCTATTTTTCTCTCCTTTCCTTTGAGCCAAAGCTGCTGTGATCCTCAGCAAATGGATATTAGAATTTCATCTTAGGTTATTGGAATGTAGTGTGCAGCTGCCTGTGAGTTTCTTTAGTTAGAAAACGTTAGCATTAAGCCTTCTACACTTTGGTAGCTTCCAGATGTGCTGGGAAGACTGTAATTTCAGAGACTAAACTGGCTGGGGAATCCTGGAAGTTACAGCTGTAAAACATTTGGAGTACTTCCAGGCTTATCTAGACTCTAGGGAACTGACTGAATATTCTTCCACCGCTAGGGTCAAGTAGAAGGTGATGTGTGGTTTAAACCCTTTTGGTTCAGTAGAATCAGCCAAAGATAAAGAATGTAAAACCAGCTGAGTAAATTGGGAAAAAAAAACCTCAGTTATTCATTGTATCTTGAATTTGTCTATGCATGCATTATTCCTTGGTGGTGCTCAGAAAAAAAGAAAAAAAAGTTGTGCCTTGTGAAAGCATAATCTGTCCACCATTGTCAGATACAAATTATTTATTAAATTCTATACGCCGCTCAGCTGGATTGAAAATAGCTCAAATGGTATGGCTAATGACACCCAAATCAGCAGGGATTAACACCAGACAAATCATCAAGCAGAAAACAGCAGTCTAATGAAGAAAATACTAAGGAGAAAATTACACCTTTTTTAACACTGGCAGGGCAAGCTACTATATATAAACAGAGAACAAACCCCTCACTCACTAATCCTGATGATCCCACTTAGTTGGGTAATGCAATGTCTGCAAGCAAAAACTGAGCCCAGAAAGCACCAAGGACTCCGAAGTGTATCCTGCCTGAATTCCTCATCTCCGTTGATACAAAATGAATAATGTCCTCCCACCCCATGAATAAAAGTTTAGGGTAAGACGTTGAAGAAAATAGTGACATCTTTGAATAAAGTTGCCAAAGGTCTCTATAAACCAGGGGTGGGCAATTAATTTCTGTCGGGGACCACATGGAAAATCAGATCTGCGTTCGAGGGCTGAACCAATTTTATAAAAGGCCATTAAAAAAAGCCTCCTCCTCCAAGCAGCCTGCCCGCCCGCCAGGCGGAACCCTTCCCGCTCCTTGGCGGTTTTGCAAAGTTTAAGCCTGGAAGCCCCGGAAAAAAAAGGGGGATCGGCAGGGACTCACCTTCGGAGAGGTCACACTTGAAGGTGATTTCGAACTCCCAGCCGAGGCCTTTGCAAAGTTCTTCTTTTCTTTCCTACCCCGAGAGCGCTCCGCACTGTTTTGCAGCTTTGGGGGCCACGCGGCACAGGGCAATACGCCACGCTCAGCGATTTTTTTTCAGGGGCGGGCCGGATTGGACAGACCAACGGGCCGGAAGTGGCCCGCGGGCCGTAGTTTGCCCACCCCTGCTATAAACTATATCAAGCCTATACATCTTACACCGAGAAAAAACAAGTAGCTTAAACAGTTTAGCATTTATTTATCTGTAATTAAATGAAACAATATTCATGTAAGAAAATCATTTATAGAAATAAATACTATCAGTTTAAGAGATTGTGGAAAACTCATTTTCTTTCAAAGTAAAACATCTAAGTTGCTTTCAGCGTTGCATCAATAATCTATGATGTGGTTTGATTTTACCTTACTATGTTGTATTATGTCTTATCATTTTGTAGGTGAACCCACCCAGTTTTGAATGATTGGTTAGGTAAATCATGGCTTGATAAAACATATACTGTAAATCCAACATCATTCCTCACTGGAAGCAAATCCATTTGGTTGACATTTTCTAAGAGAAGTACTTATATGAACCATAGCTGGAATCATTGCAGTGGGGAAACTTCTGCGCTAATCCAAGCCAAATTACTTAATTTGTATGATTTTTATGATTTGTTAGGTCTCTGTGACACATTGAATGTCCAGAAATACTGTGATATTGACATATAATCATTGTGGCATCATCCTAACCATCACAATGTGATCTTACACATTTATGGAAAGCATAGTGCATTATATCATATCTGCAATATTTTAGAAAGATGAACTATTACAGCAGGCTGGCCTATGGCTTCATGTTGTCTAGTACAGTAGTTTGTATACCAGATTTTGACTAGTAAGCATTATTCTGGGTTTCAGTGACAGATTCTGATTTTCCTGGTCAGAATGCCAAATGATCCCATTTCATTATTCGAGGGGAAATAAGTCTAGCCTGCCCTACTGTTTATAACTCTTACCCATCAACAATCAAGAAGGAAAAGCTCTTTATACTTTATATTTATCATACTCTGCTTGCACAATTATGCTAGAAAATGCATAGATCACATCCTTTGAAGACTTTCGTAAATAATATGTAAAATAAAAAAAAATAGAAAGAATGATGAATTAAATATAAGCTATATCTCCAAATGAAACTAGAGATCTGATTAAGAATTCCTTTCTGAAAAATCAGGTGAAATTGGAATGCTGCCATGACAAATATTTCAAGATATAGTCCAGATACCTTTTTGAGTCTGGATAAGTTTGTAACAAAGAGAATGCTTAAATTTGTAGTTCTCAAATGAACACATTCTGTATTCCCAATTCTACATTTTAGGAATTTGGAATCAAAGAATTTTCAGAAAATGAGCTGGCTGACTTTTTTTTTTAAAAAAAAAACCAGATTCTATGTGTTTAACGTTAAGTTAACTGATATTCCCAGTCTTGAGAAATCACTGTCTATTCATAACATATACATACTTTTAAAGAAACTTCACCATTTTCATTTTTCTGAAAGGGCCATTATTTCTTGTTTTAAATATTGTAGGATGAATTTAAAATATATAAATATTATTTACTAGTTGTTTAGTTCAGTCTTTTGGGATGGAACACAAAACATCTTCTGACATTCGATCTTACATATACAGTATAAGAGAAAGAAGGCAGTACTTCTATAAAACACTTTTGAGAATTTAGAAGGCTTTAATAAAATACAAGGTTAAATTTTTAACAGAATGTTAGTACAGTACAATCCTTTTCTTCTTTTTATACAGTATTTTAATAACTTTAAAAAATTATAAAAATGAGATGGCTTCCATAATGGGCATATTAATAGGATGATATTATGCAAAATAACTTACATATTTGATGTTAGCCAAAAAGCTGAGATATCTAGAACTTTTATTTAGCAGCCTGATAGGAATTAAGGTTATAAAAGAAATAGGCGTTGCGTATGCATTTCCTGTTTGATCAGATCTTACACTAGTTAGGAATTCAATCCAGAGGTTTCCGTCATTTGTCATGATCCCCTTCTGAAAATCCTGGAGAAAATGCGTACTTTAGCTCAGTGGCCTCCAACCTTTTTTGTGCCATGGCCCGGTACCAGCATCACAAAATGATCTGCAGCCCGATACTGGCAACAGCATGCATGACAAGGCAAGGCGAGCTGAGTGACCGGCCAGCCAGCCATCCCCCGCTTCTCCCCGCCACCTTCAACTCCTCCTTTGTACCTTTGTCGATGGGCTTCGCTTCGGGACGGCTTCGGGATGGTCGCTCGGCTCGCCTTGCCTTGGGTGCTGAAAGAATCCTCGTGCCTTAGTTTCGTTCGAAGCCCCCCACTTCGATGAAACTAAGGCGCGAGGATTCTTTCAGCACCCAAGCACCGCTTTCCAACCGGAAAAGCTCACCCGGAAGCACTTTCTCGTCAAACAAGATGGCGGCACCCAGCAAACCGGAGGCCCAGTAGGAAATGTTCCACGGACCAGTACCAGTCTGCGGCCCGGTGGTTGGGGACCCCTGCTTTAGCTGACATTTTTTTGAAAATCTGTTCAGAAAAGAGGCTGTTCTTGAAAATATTGACCCTATAAACACAATGGGCATCTCAAATCTAGTAGATGTGAAGGTTTTTCTATGCGATTAAAGGAGAGTACGTTACCCTGCTGAAGTTTAGAGCCCCAAGAAAAAGCAGATTTATAGTGTAGGAAATTAGCACCCACACTTCTCCTAGAAAAATGAAATATCCTGGGAAATATTAAAAAGGCAGAATATTTCCCCTAAAAAGAGTAGAAACTCAAGAGCAGAAACTCACCCCCACCTTTGATAATGGGTGGGCCATTAAGGCCTGGGCCAGAATACTTTACATAACAAAGATCTCCAGGTAAAACTATAGCAATTGCCAAAAGCCCTTTTCAGTGCATCATCATCCAGCAAGGCTCAATCAAGCCTGGAACTCAGGAGAACTTACAGAGTTGCCCCCCCCCCCCCAGCCATGGCCCCATGGGAGTCTGACAACCAATTAGAAAC